AAAAAAAATACCTGCGATTTCTCGATTTACTAAATCAGGTTGAGTTTGGTCATTTGCTTCATTTGGTACATGATGCTCTTTGGTAAGTTTAATGCTTTCAATAGAAACTTTAGATTGGTTAACTTCTAATTAAATAAATTGAATATTTTCATTAAATTATTTCAAGAAAATTACAAGTATTTTTTATAAACTAATTTTGATTTGAATTTAATCTACTTGATTTATAAGGAGATTCATATTTATTGAAATAAAAATACCAACATGTTAAATCTAATAATGTTTGATAATTAATAAATATTATAATGAAAAAAATACCTGTAACTTCTTCCCAATTTGATGTAGTAAATGAAGAAGAATTAGATATATAATCACCGTCCACGTCCATTGCGTCCGCGTCAATTGAACTTGAGATTGATTGTTGAAAGCTTCTTGATTGTCATTAGAATCGTTATATATATTTTCTAAATTGATATTCTCGAGGGAATCAAAAATATTTTTAATAGTTTGTCTTTGGGTCGGATCATCATTCCATGCACTTGAATAGATTTTAATATAATCCTCTGGTGTTCCGTTAATGGGTACTTCTCTTTTACCGTTAGTAACGTAAGCAAGCTGTACAAATTCCGGGATTTTATCAAATGGAGGCTTTCCACTCGATAATTCCCAAAAAATAACTCCCAAACTATATATATCCGAAGCTTTATCTCTTTTATATCTTATAGATTTCATTTGATTTTGTAAATATTCAGGATCATCTTTCATTTGATCTCGTAAATATTCAGGATCAAGATATGCAACCATTCCACCACCCACAGATATTGAATTGCTATCTAATGATTGAGATAATCCTAAATCTGCTATCAAGAGCCTTTCTCCGTGAACCAAAATGTTCTTTGAATGCTATTAAAGTAAATGAATTTAGATATACAATTTAAATAATTAATAATAATAATTAATAAATCATTATTATACATAATATTTACTTACTAAATCTTTATGAACTATATTTTCTTCGTGAATACAGAGTAGACCACTAGTAATATCTTTAGCCATTTTGATTTTAATTTTCCAATCAAGTCTATCGAAATTATTTCGTAAATAAGTCCTCAGGTCACCATCTTTAGCATATTGTAACACTAGATAGTGCGTATCTGTTGAAGGATCTAAATAATATTTTTTTATTAAATAATATTAATTTAATTGATGATAATATTTATTT